TGAAGGCACAAAGAAAATAATAATAGATACTTCATTATTCCAAATCTGAATTTAGCTCTTGGATATGAAGACACAGATCATATGTATTCACATATTCCCCACCAGTGCTGAGTTCTACAGTATGCAATCGTATCTTTTCCATGTGTTACTTTTAAAGCTCCTATATTTGCTTATCACAAATTTAATCGCTTAATTAAATCACAATGAGCTTATCTTTCCCTCCAAAATGCTGATGGGTTGCACAAATATGGTCAAAGCCAAAATCAAAGCATATTATGCATCAGTATCCTGAAATTGCAAGGAAATGTTGAAACTACTAAGAAATTAAAGGATGAAGGCAGCATTTATGTGGAAAGGTACACCTGTGAGAAAAGACAGCTTCAGGAAGGGATGAGATGTCCTCCCAGGCAGAGCAGCGAGGCAGAACTGACAAGCCCCCAGGGTGGCTCTAGACTAGCTATAGTGCCTTGCAATTAACAAATATGTTTGGACTTTCCTATTTGAAAAACACCTGTAATCCACCTGACCCTTTTCCCTCCAGATGAGAGTGTGTCCAGGGGCCCAGAGCACTAGCTGCACCTAGTCAGGGCTGCTCTGAAGGGCAATTCAGAGACATGGCGGCTCAGGAAAGCCAAGGACTAGAACCCCATTGGACGTACAGCCTGTGGAAGCTCTGGGCCAGCAGGGAGGCCATAAGCAGGAAATAGGGAAGCCACTGGACAGACAGAGCAGGAAACTGTTAAGAGAAGAGGGCAGGAATCTGAGGCCCAGGTAAAGTGAAGAACAGATTTAGTGGCTTCCACCCACCCATAATGTGTGCCTTTTTTGCACAGCTGGGTACATGGTCCTGGGCTCAAATCAGCACAATACACCGTTCATGGCCATTTCCCCCGATTCCCACCGACACAGAGAATTCCTCAGGGCATTGCCAGGGACTGGGAGATGCCCTCTGGATCACTTCACCCGACCTTTTACCACTTGTGCTCTGAAAAGTATGAAGTGGCACACACTGCAGGGCTTTCCTGCCACCATTGGCAGTGTCTAGGGCGCCAGGTGAAGAGCCAATGACGGTACTGAGTTTTAAGAGGGGAAAGTTTTAGGACCAAAATTAGGAAGGCGAACAGAGAAGATCCCTGTGGAACAGCCTCAGAGAGAGAACTAGTTAATTCTTTGACTACTTCCTATTGGCATTATTCTGGGGCTAGATATCCTCAAGAAATGTCACACTTTCCTAAAAATATCATTTTAAGCTCCTGGCATCTTCTAAGAGTAATTCTCCAAGTATGATTATAACCTTTATTTGAACGGAATATTCAATCACACACGACGGGAATTTCATTAGTATTACGTGGCAGAGTTGATTTTTTTCCCCTGGCATAATTATTGTTTTTTTTCTTATTCTGTTTATAAAATGTACCCCCTTTTATTTAAATCACGTAAGAATGCAAATTGTACATAGCGGCTTGATGATCTTCTAACCAGATTTCTGGAAAAAGAACTTGATTCTGAGAGTATAAATTAAATTCATCTTCCTTAGCAAGTATTATGATTTACTGAGATCTTCTGAGTGCCAACAGTGTGTTTAGCTTTTCAGAAAACATAAAGGAAAAGCCTGCCTTCCCTGTCAATCTGAAAAAGGCAAAGGAACCAGTTGCAACCAGAAAAAAATTCACCCAAACAAAACCAAGCCGTCCATTAAAGAGGCCCCTCAGCCACTTCCCCCAGAGCTGGGCAGTGACAGAGGACGAGTCAGCAGAAGTGCGATTCTGCGATCCGTGAGGTCGAGGAGAAAAGGGTGATGCCTGACGATCCACACACCCACCCCTGCCCCAGACTCGTGCAGTTCTTTGAGGGGAGGGGGACGAAAAGCTGCTGCTGCCTCTCACCACGCTCTACTGACACCAACTCCACCAACTCAAAGGCAGCTCACCACCCAGAGACGCTCAGACTCCAGAGAGGATGCCCAGGCCTCCAGACTTTTATTCTGGTTCAAAGAGAGAGCAAAGAGAAAAGGTATATAGACTCCTCCCTCCTTCCCTCTCTCTCTTTTAAAAGGTGTTTCTAAGACATTCACATCTTAACATCCTAGACCTTCTGCAAGGGTCCTTGGAGGCTTCCCAGCCCAACCATCTCATTCCACAGGGGAGGAAACTGAGGCTCAGAGAAGTAAATGACCAGCCCGAGAGCACACGGCTGATTCTTGGGGGAACCCAGACTAGAAGCCAGGACATCTGACCTCACCAGTCCTCTTGTGCCTTCCCCCTCGGTGATGACCTTTCTTTCTCTCCCCTTGGGGCAGGCAGCACGGGGACGCAGCCCCCTGCACTTTGAGGGAAAAGACAACTAATGTATAGAGTGACTGGTGTTCTGTGGAGGCAGCTCTCATGACAGAGCTAATAATGAAAACCCAGCCGGGGACAAACAGGCAACAAGGGTGACACTAACGCTAGCTCACCCCAAGGAAGCACTTATGCCCCTCTCCTGTGCACACAGGAACAGATGGGTGAAGGCGCATCGAGTGAATGTTGAGTAAGAACCACTCGCGGACACAGAACGATCCATTTTCTGATAGTGAACGATTAGAATCAACTCTCGAGTCCCACATGGGAATCAGGAATCACTCAGAAATAAGCCATTTAGTTGAGAGAAGCTGACAACAGCAGCAGAATGACAATGAGATGCAGAAGCTGCTCCCAGGACGACAAACGGGGACTGGGACACTGCTGCTGCCGGGTGGCCCTGGGCCCCGCCGAACACAGACGGTGCCAGGCCGGGTCGACTGTGCGGGAGAGTGGACCTACAACTCAGACACCCAGGATAAATAACAAAACTCTTACCCTTCTCTCTGATCAGCCCCTGGAGTGTGATTATCTAGTTTATGGGGAAATATTATTTTAAAAACCTACTTGGAAAATACTTTCTCTTATTGTAGCACTGTCAAATCTATATTTTAAAGAATAGATTTAAGTGGCAATGTAGCCAAAGAAAACAACGTTTTCCAGACTCCCTTGTATCTAGGGATAAACATGTGACCGCGATCCGGCCAAAAGAGATAACCGAAATTACTGGGTAGAGTCTGTGGGATAACTCTTTAAAAAGGGGGATGACTCAGCTGACAGGTACCTTCTGCCCTTCCCTTTTCCTTCTTCCTGCCCGGGACAAGGATGTGATGGCTGTGGTGGAGGCAGCCATGTTGTAACTCTGAGGCAAGCCCAAGGATGGAAGCCAAAAGCTGAGAATGGTGTAGTAGAACAATGAAAGGAGCTTCTACACCAGACCTTCACTGCCTCCTCTGGAGTTTTTTTTTTTCATGTTAAAAGAAAACAAATCCCTACTTCTTTTTATTTTTGTCCATTATTTATATGCAAATACATTTCCTAACTGAAACGCATACCTACATACTTACTAAGAGGCCCTGACACTGAAGAATGAGGCAGGAACCACCAAATATTTAAAGTAAAATGGAAGAGCAATAACAAGATATTGATCCCAGCTGTACTAACAGAAATTCCAGCTCGGAGACTGCAATTAAAATAATGGAGAGGAAAACATCCCAAACCAAATTACCAGTTTTGATGACTACAGAGGTGCTTTGTTATGACCCAGAGGACTGATTTGAGAGCTACAAATTGAGCAAAGGCTTCAGGCAAGTATTTCTGAAAAATAATTTCTTAAAGAAATGTAGCCTCTGGGCAAAACAGTGGAATGAAAATGGTGGCCCAGACAGAGAGAGAGTTCAAGAGAGCTTTCTTTGATTTTAGGAATGCAAGAGCTTCAGGGAGTCAGTACAAGCCACTGGAGCATTATTCTCATTATTACTAATGGTTCTTAATAACTAAGGGGCAGTGCTGGGTCTCCAGTTGGCTGAAATTGACCAGAAATTGCTAGTTGCAGTTATACTAATAATGAAATACATTATAATTTGACACTAAATTACAATTCCAGATACACAGCTTTCTGCACTGTCTCTTATTGCAAAGGCAAACTAAGCATCAATAAATAGAATAATCCAATTAAGTGTCTCTCCATTTGGGAACTATTTAGAATTGAGAGTTTAACAGGATAGTGAGAGAGGGCAAAACAATTCGGTATTTACTGATTTTAAAAATCAGGGCTTTTTATTCTAAGACAATTATTTTTTCTTATTTTAAAATAAGTGTTCAATCAATCTGAATGGCTTTGGTCATTTATGTAGTAATTTTAATCACAATAAATTCTTTCTAGTTTTGAGGCATAATTTCCCATGCGTACATTTACCTGTACTTTAATATTAAATCTAAGCACCTTTTTCAGGCTCAGAAGGGCTTTATAAACATATTCCCAATCACTTTTTTTTTGCCATATATAATAACCATGTGTAAGCCAGGAATTACAAATACAGGAAGACGGATTGATAAAAATGTCTATATTCCTTTTAGCTACACTTAAGTGGAAAAGTAATAGCCAAATTCCCTAATTATAACCTGCGCCAGTATTGTGTTAACACACCTTGCAGGATTTTGTCAGAGATAGATGTTCCCTCCACTGGAGAGAGAATGACAATTTGCCTGAAGATGCAGAAATACATGGGAGGAGATTTGCCAAGAGATGAGCTGGAGCAACCCCATGGATCTGGCGGCTGTGCTCTGAGCTTTCTGTTATCCCATGAGTAGCAGGTATGTGATACATGTTTGCTCAGTGAATGAGCTGCCTCAGATTCTTCAGAGAAGGTGTTCCTAGAAGCACCCACAAGCAGCTGGGTAAGCCTAGGCTACACCCTTCAGCCTGGATTTCCGTAGGGAAAGTAGTGGCATATCTTGTCTTACAATTAAGGTATGATTAAAGTCTCCAGGAAAAGTCTCCACTTCCAGATTGGGAACATCCTGTGTCACATTCTTTGGCAAGGATGGCTTTGGTGATTCTTACCTGCTATTAAAACATGTACACGCAGATGTCCTACATGGTACTGATGCCTTGGGGATGGTTAAGACAATTCTAAAAGACATTTAAAAGATACTTACTGCTGGTAGAGGACAGGTGGCTGTAGTCAGACCTGAAACACAAGACCTCAGTGTCAGTAAGATTCTTTATGCAGATGATTTATTCGAACCAGAATTTTAAAGTCAGTTACAAGTAGCATTCACCTAGTGAAGAAATGTCACAAATTAAAAACTACAGTGCTGAGGCTCATTTTGTGCAAAATAAACTTACATCTGAATTTGAAAGCAAAACGTCAAAGACACTGTAGAAATCTGGGGTCCTTTACAAAGGCTCTGTGAATCCCCCTCACAGGGGGCAGGAGGTCATTTAAATTTGCTGGCAAATTTTTGAATGGTTGTTTATTTTTCTGGGGAGAGGGCCCAAGTTTTCAACAGATTCACGGACTCACAGATTCACTCAACAATTTTAAGCCACTGCAAATGAGCACCCTTCGAATGTTCGCACTACACCGTGGGGAAATGTTTTCTGGCCGACATAAGCAGGGGATCCCAGTGAGGGCAGAGAGAACCTCGGCTGGGAAGGCTTTCACTTTCAAGGAAACATCAGGAAACACAAAGGTGCAATGATGCTTTGGCTGACTTCAGGTCCACCTGAGAAGAAAGCCTGCTGGACACTAGGGTAACAGGGTGTGGGCTGTGACAGGGAAAGGGTTGGGGTGACATTACCCTTTCGCTTTCTATGCTGAAAAGTCAGCTGCTGGCACTCGGCCTCTGTGAGAACGGGGATCTGGCCAAGGATCTGCTTAATCTTACTAAGTTTCTGCCCTACTTATGTGACTGTTAAGACTTCCCTCTCTGGCAACGAATTTGGTATGGAAGCTATTTAGTTTCCTCCCCCAGCATCCCAAAGTCATTCTCAGTAGGAAATTAATCACTTAAGCACGCAGGGATTTATTCTGCTGTGGTGGTTAGAGGATGTAGTTATGCAAATAAACTGCTTAATTATGTTTAATTTTATAGATATACACTCCTTTTATCTCCTTAGTCTCCTGTTGCCTTTCTTGAATCATCCAATTTTCACTACACTTAGTTTACCACATTAAAAAAGTACATAAATAACTTTTAAAAAAAAAAAATCACAAGAAACATGCCTCTCACTAGTTAAAATAACCTACGTTGCTCATAATGATGCACTGATTTATTGGTACAGGAACAAAATGGAAGAAAAACAGCATGTGGTTTTCTTTTTTTCAAGTGAAATACTTTAGCAGTCACAGAATCGCTGAATTTTAAAACTGGTAAGAATAACAACTACTAACATGTGCATATCTCTTTATGTATTACAAACCGCATTCACATATATCCAATGCAATTTTTTTATTTTATTGATTAGGAAACTAAAGTGCTACTATGTGTAAGGAGACCAGGAGGCGAGGAATGACGAGGGCTTGGACTAAGTGTGGCAAGAAGAGTCAGAAGGTAGAAAGGATTGGCTAGGACACGGTGACACACTGGCTAAGAAGAGAGGGAGTTAAGGCTCCATACCGTCCTGAAACCCAGGATTTGTAACCCCACCACTGGTGCAATAAATTCTTTCTGGAATCAGTCAGGACATAAACTTCAGAACAATACTTAGAAATGTAACGGTATATAAATGCAGTGAATGCTCAACAAACATCCACTGTGGTAGATCCAAGGGGAAACCAATTCCATTACAACACAATTATCTTAAGATGATCAGACTTTAAAGAAATTCCATGACTATTCAAATATAATATACAGTAAGAATGTGTGCTATTGCTATTGCTTTTATTCTTAAAAATGTGTCAGTATTTTCAGCTGGGATTTTCCAAATACTCCCGAAGCAGACGGTATTCACATATGCATACATTTTAAAGATCTGCATACAGATGGATATGTATGTAGAATGAAATTTACATTTGAGACATAGTTCAAGAATCTTAAAGTGCACGGGTATTTCCATATTTTAGGACAGGTGCTAGCATAACTAATGCCCCTCCATGAATCAATCCCTCCATACCTCTCGTGACTAAAAGCACCACTGGGTCAGGATTGCCAACTGGTCAGTCTTCTGACAGTCACACTCATCCTGCTCCAGTTCCTTCCCCATACAGTAGCTAATCTTTGCAAAGTACAAATCTGATCATCTCTCTCTCTCTGGATGAAATTCAAGCTCGCTAGTATAAAATACAAACCTCTCTCTCTATGATGGGTGGCCCATCTCTGCAGCCCTACTTCCATCCCTGTCCACTGGTCAAAAAGAAATCTCATAGACGAAAGTCACCTAAAGCCTCGCATTGCTCTCTAGCCTCTGATCCTCGGTTTACGGGATTCATACACAGTTGCCATGATGGAGATACAATTTTGAACTGCTCTTTTCACTTGATACCATCATAATGTGCTGCTACATAGTTCCTGTAATTTTCATTTTAGATGAAGTGATGTACTATAATTTATTCAACCATTTCCCTTTTTTTGGCTTTATGATTGTTCCTGGTTGTCCACTTTTACAAAGCACTCTGCAATGAGGTATTTATGAATTTAACTTTACATTTAGTTTCCTTCGGAAAATTATAAATGGCAATATAGAATGAGCCAAGGTATGAACACTTTTATAGCTCTTAAAATATATTCAAATAACTCTCAAAGATTATTTACTGAAAATACTGCCAGTGAAAGACAAACTCTAAAGCTTCAAACAATACTGTGCTTAATAATAGGTTCCAACAATTCCAGAGAACAATAGGCATCTGATTAGGGTTCTCTGGAGAGGTTTGTACTTCCCAACTTTTTTAGGGTGGGAAGGAACTGCAGTAGAGTACCTGCCTTGAGATTTCTGCTTATTTGTCTCACATCATAAGAAGTTACCCAGCTGGCTCTATGTAAGACAGTCAACCCTGCCAGAATGAAGCATGAAAGAGAATTTAGAATGAAAATTTATGGACACATGATACAGATGGGGAGAGTAATACAAGGATTATGTACGTGCACACACACGACACATAAAGAGACACATTTCCAAATATAATATTTAGTATTTGTGCTAATAATGAACAGAAAGTTAGTTGTGGTCCCTTGACTATATTTTAATTATAATTACACATTTAGGGATATATAAAGGGTTCTGTACCTAAGATAGCCTACCACTGTCCAAGGGGCACTTGCCAATTGATATACAGTATACATGAAAAGAAGACCTTCCTAAATTCTCTTTTCCAGGAAAATCATGGTGTAAGGATCGATCTTGGCATTTCTGTAAAATTGATCTTGATGTTTCTGTAAAAAATCAGCTCAGTGTGTCTTGGACTTCACTGATAACTCTCAATGCATTGAATTAAATGCCGTGGTAATTTAGAATTAGCTAGCCCCACCTTTAACACAAAGATAACTGAGTACTAATAGATCGTCTGGTCTTCTAAACAAGATTTCCACTTTTATCTTTTTCTTTTTTAAAACCTGTCTCATTTTAAAATGTATCCCACCCATTCTCTTTCATCCACCCATTTAAACTCTAGATCCATGAATTGTTTGTTATCTTTGAAGTCACAGTGAAATATCAGTTGGAGGTCACCCAAAGAAACAGGACATGGTATGGCCCTACATGTTCAAAAGCTCAGTGACAGCCGACATGGAAGCAGAAGTCCATTAATGCCAGACCACACTATTGTGTGAAAATAATGCAACACATTTGAAAGAGAGGCTTAGAGGCCAAATCTCGGGGACATCACTAATGAAACAGTCATTATAAAAAAGCAGTGGCTTTTATTTGGGTGTACAAGGAACCGCCTGTCCCTCTATTAAAGGAGTCTGTTTCTTAAGATAGTTTACCACCATTGGCAGCCGACTTGCCAGTTTTTTCTAACAGAAAGTACACAGAAGCACAAGGCTTGCTTTCAAGTGGATTTGGAAAATGGGAGTTTCAAAATGACATTGATTGCCACTGAAGAATACTTGTTTGCTTTTAGTCTTGACCTGTATTAGGTGGGTCAGACAGCAAAGGCAGCATCTTAAGGCAAAGAAAATGTCTAAGCAGAAAACAAGAATTAATTACAGATCAAACAGCTCCTTGAGAGGCAACTTTAGCGGGTGGGAAGCATGTTGGAGGCCCAGGCTTCAATTCATGCCACTAACGAGCCCTGTGCCCTCCAAGTCTCCATTTCCTCATCTGTAAAATAATAATTATAATACTGAGGCATGCCCGGTAGTCTCTTGGATGTTCTTAATAATGATCATATTGCTTAAGGTATTTAAAAGCAACAGAGCACCTACTGTGATGAGTTTAAAGAACATATGATTTTGAGTTCACCATTTTTATTATATAAAACTCTAAGTTTATCATTTGGAGTGTTCTTTGTAACAATAATAATAGTGTGATGAGAAATAATAATGTGCCCAGGGTTTACTTTGCCAGGCACTGTTCTAGGGGCTTTACATATATAGATTCATTTAATCCTCACAACAACTACGAGGTATGGTACTATTATCATCATCCCTGTTTTACAGAGGAGGAAACTGAGGGCAGGGAGAGGTTAACTCACTGGCTCAAGGTTCCACAATTCCTAAGAGGAGGAGCCGGAATTTGAATGCCAGCAGGCTGGCTCTTGTGTCAGTGGGCTCAGTCTGCCCACTGATAGTGGGACCCAGAGTTTCTTGGAAACTTTTCTTCCATCATGCTGCTGAAAAAAGGATCAATAATCAGCTTAAGCCATGCCCTAAAATCCCTTGCTCCTATGTTTTGTTCATGCCACCTAGCAACAGTCCCCCTTACCCCAAACCTTGGTGATCCGAACTACCCACCCACCTCTCTGCCTGACCCTACCTAGGTAGCTGGAGTCCTGCAGCAGGAAAATAGACAAGGTAGACTCACACCTCCATGAATACCTAATCACTCATCTCAACTGGGCTCTGGCTCAACACTGCCCCAAACAGCTATTCCAAACCTCCATGCTCTTCAGGTCGGGGAGGGGGGCTTCATTTTCACCATGGAATGGAGACCCCATCTTCCCTTCCCTCCCTCTAGCTGTGGGAAGGGAGATGTTCCCACCTCCTACCTAAATCCATCCATTCACATGTGGTCTGAAGTCCATCTGCCTGCACCTTGTCAGAGAGCTGACATTACGGATTATCAAATTTTCTCCTATATCTTTATCCTTTTTGCAGAACCCTTTCTATTGGCATTGACTGCCTAAATAGTACCCATTTTTAGGAAATCCTTCCCTCACCCCACTCTCCCCTTCAGCTACTGCCTCTCCCTGCTCCTTTTCTTGACTTGGGAATCTTGCTGTCTCTTCTTCCTCACCTTCTACTCCCTTCCAGAGCCACTCTAATCTGGCTCCTGCCTCCACCACCCCACTGTCAACTACTATTCTACCTTTAATTCATTATCTCCATCTAACAAGGGACACTCCCCATCATTCCTCATCGTCATTAGTTTCTCAGTAGCACAGCTGAACTCTGTCTTTCCTTTCTCAAAGATTCAAGCCTCTCTTGGCTTCTACGATATCACATTCTTCCTTCATTTACTCCATGCCTACTCTTTCTCTGGCTCCTTTATCAGCCCATCCTCGCTTACTTGGCATTTAAATGTTGTAGTCTCTCAAGCCTGGTCCTAAAAAGCACCTGCTGCACAGAGTTAGCGAAGGATTCAAAGGGTCAATGAAACATGTAAATGCTTAGGACAGTACAGGGCACATACTAAATGCCAGGTGTTCGCTATTACCTTCAGTTGACTTAATCTCGCCTAGGGCTTCAGTTGCCATTTTTAGGCAGACAGTTCCCAAACGCAATGTCATCATGCAGACCTCCTCTCTTGGGTTCCAGACAGATACACCCAACTGCTGACTCACATCTTTACTCAGATGTCTCACAAGACCTCAGACACGATGTGTTGAAAATGAAATGTCTCAGACCCTGTCCAAATTTGGTTTGGAAGGGATCACAGGCTACTTTGAGAATCCAACTTAAAAAACAAAAAAATAAGTTCTCTTCTCATGAAAATGCACAAAGTGCATCATTTTGCATACAATTTGAAGCAATTCATGGACCCCAAATTAAGGATCACTGCCTTAGCAGATGTGTCACTTGAGCTGAGTCCTGAAAGAAGAGTAGAGTTTCACCCGGTGGACAGGCATGCCAGGTGGAAAGGGCATAGCTGGCAAAGAGGGCAGCTTGACAAAGGCAAGGAAACAAACGTCTGTCAGACACGGCTAGGTGCACGGTGCAAGGAGGGGCCTGCTGAGATACAAGGCCAGAGAGAGAAGGAGGGACTCCAAAACGTTAGAGCTTATAAGCCACATTAAAGTCTTTCCACTTTATAGATGACAGAGCCATAAAAGTTCCAAAGGGAGAGAGACATGAACAGATTTGCATTTAAAAAATAATATAATGATAATAAACATTAATTTCGTGTTTTCTACACAATCTTTATGCATAATCTCAACAGGTAGCTCTATGAAAGCTGAATAGGGTAAGCGGAGGTGGGGGGCAGGGAGGCAAGACCCAGAAAAGTAGGCTAGAAACAGCTTTTGTTGATAACGAAAACTCAAAGGATATATGAATATACGGCAAACACAAGACTAATACATACACGCTGAAACTATTTTATTTAAATGCACGGGCATGCCATTTTACCTTTAGCTTAAGGATGCTAGTGATACAATAAAGAATTCTTTAAACAATTCTGTGCTGTTACAACTACACATTGCAGAGGTAGAGAACAGAAGCTCTGGTGTCAGCATGAGTGTGCCCCTCCCAGGAGCCCTGGTAGCTGTCACGCTGATGTCCAGATCCTGGGGCAACGTCACCTCCTGGGTCAGGACTCTCTCTTCTCTAAGACAGAGAGCCCTTTGAAAAATATGTTGTAGGTGAGCTCAGCAAATTGAAAATGAATGGTGAATGCTTTATTCAACCCAGCTATAAATGAGCTGGTTAATTTTGCTTTGTTTCTTCTATTCGCGGTCCAGCTAATTAGAGGCAGGCAAGAAAAAAAGAAAAAGCCAAGGATCTTCAATCAAAGTTGATAAATGCCACTTACGCGCTATGTGGGGAAAAGCAAGGGAGTTCATTATTCGGAATCAGGTTACTGCACCAGATTATAATTGAGTGCTGTATCGAACCACGAATGATCCTAAATGTGGACAACAGGGAAAGCCCATAGCTGGGTAAGTATTCTAGGAAGTAAAGTCCCAGATTTGGGCTAGGAGTGGTGGTGGAGACTGCAGGGAAAGGCGGGGTTGAGAGGGAGAGGCAGGAGGGGCTGCACGGAGGCTTTCTGGGGGTCAGAATGAACTCTGAGTCCATTCTGGGGCTGGATTCTCAGCCTGCCCTCAAAGAGTTGCCAAATCCTGAGATTAGTCTAAAACCTCCCCGACCTTCCAGGAATGAGGCTTTCTGTAGCCTGGGCAGCTCCCGCCCTCCCCCAGGATTACTCCAGATAGGAAAAGACACCCTTTCCTCCTGGGTCAATACCCGCATCCTGGATGTGGCGCCGACTCTGCACAGGAAACTCCTCTAGAGATAGGGGCTGGGTGGAAGCCTTTACAATGGCTTCTGAAAGACATTCTATCTTTTGTCCCATGCAGGAAAACAGTGTTGTTGGGAGAGGACTAATTAGTCTCCAAAGGTTTGAGCTCATTGTTTGAGTCCGCTGAAGCGAAAAGGACATTTCTTTAAATAAGCGGGGCTAGAACATAGCATCGTCTCCAACCCGCCGGTACCGAGGCGAGCGGTTCCAGCCGGGACAGGTGCACTTAAGAGGAAGTTGGGCGGGACTAGAGGAGTCGAGGAGGGGGTCTCAGCAGCACAGAAAAAAGTCCCACAATAAAGCCGTAAGTGAGAAATGCTACCCTCGTAGCCAACTTCTGAAAGACTTGGAGGTGCCGGTGTCCCACCCTGCTATTCCTTTCCCCATCTCCAGGTCCGGACTCCAGGGGGCTCCGGAGCTACAAGAGAAAGTCCCCGCGGAAGGTCGAAACAAGTGCAAAAGCATCCCTTGTCTGTCTCACGATGGTAAGGGGACACTGCATTTGCCTGGCACTCCACATGCCCGCACGTGCGAGCGGAGGGCAAAAGGGCTGCGGTGGGACTGCACTGCACCTTCAGTCCTTCCGGTTTCGTCCCTGGGGTAGGGCCCGCCCGGCTCTGCCCCCGGGGCCTGCCCAGGAGGGAGCGCGCCCACCCCAGCCCCTCGGGCTTCCCGGTGGGGTCCGGCAGGAGGAGAAGTCCCCGCGCCCCGTCCCGCCACAGCGGCTCTGGCTCTGCCGCGGGGATGCAGTGGGTCCCCACCCCGGGAGGAGCCGCCGCACAACTCGCAGAGCACCCCCCGCCCGCGGCCCGGCCCGGCGCGGCTCACCCTCCGGTCTCAGCGCCCGAGTCCACGCAGTCCTCCTCCTCGCCGCCGCCGCCAGCCTTCGGGTCCATGGCTCGCGGGCGCCGGCGTGACCCGGGGCGCGCTACCTCCCGGCCGCCCAGCCCAGCCCAGCCCGAGCCGGGCGGGCTCTCTCCGAGCGTCTCGCGACCCCGGAGCCGGCAAACAAGTCGGGAGCCCGCCGCGGAGCCCCTCGCCGCGCCCTCTCCCGGCCGCGCCTGGCGGGGCACCAGCGGCCGCGCCCGCCCCTCCCCTCGGCGCCCGGCGGGGCCCGCGATCGCGCGCCTGTGCCCGGGGTGCGCGCTCGCGTGCGCGCGCCTGTGTGTGTGCGATGGGGCGCGATGTCCGAGGTCGCGAGCGTCCGTGTCTGGGTGTGCTGCGTCCCGACGGCTGCGCGCGCCTGTGTGTGTGCCGAGCACGCGGGGTGTGAGTGCGCCCGGAGCCGCCCCTCTCCCCCGCGCGCCCAGTCCGGGCACCGGAGGCCCAGGGCTTGCCCCGAGCTTCCCCGGCCCCCGCGCTGCCGGCAGCACCGAGAAAACCCGGGGGCATCGTGAAAGCAGGGAGAGACCTGTTTCCCTTTGGGGACCAGTTCCAACACCTGGGTGTTTTCTTATCGTTTCTTCAGAATTACCGACGCTGAATTCATTGTCACCTTTCTCAGCACAGGTCTGAGTGGGTTTTCACCGCCTAGCTTGCCAGTTTACAATAGGTGTCATGCATTCTTTTGCTATTTTTAAAAAGATACCTTTAAAAATAATTTAAACAGCAGCGGATGTACCTGCAATTCAGGGGTTGTTGCAGCAAGGGGATAATATAATGGACGTTTATAAAGTATCGCCCTCCGCATCTGAGGGTGAGTTCATGGTCACTGTTGGAGGGCTTACCTCCTATTAAGAGGGTGAGGCCACAGGCAAGCTGGGGAGATCTGAACAACTTGGATGTATTTCTGACAGCCCTGTCCAAGCCGTTAGAAGGCACTCTTTTCTACTTTCTTCTAGGGCAAGTTATTTAACCTCTTTGAGTCTTAATTTCCTCTTCTGAAAGTTGGGGCTATTGATATCTACCCTATATCTCTGTGGTGAATTAAATTATATCATGTATGTAAAGTATTTAGCCCAGGTCCAGATACATGCCAAGCACTAGTCACAGGCAGCTGTCATGACCAGCCACACCCCCAATCTCAATTTGCAAAGCAGTGTCACTCTGGATGACAAGTGATACCTTGAAGAGGAATATAGTTTCTTTTCTCTCTCACTCTCTTCTTCCCATCTGCTTCCTTCCTGTTTACCTACCTATGTATCACTCCTTTCTGATTTTTATTTTGCATAAATTACAAGAAAGAGAAATCCAATTCACAAACAATAGAAATGCAATCTCATCATCGAGAAAAAACATAGGCAAATATGCCAATGCCAAATCTGAATTGTCCTTACTGAGCCTAAAATTCCTTGCACCCAAAATAGAAATGGACATATTATATTCAGTTGGTGCTCATTAGCTGAAAGAAAGCAGCACGCCTGTTCTTTGAGGGAGACTTCCCCTCTATGCACTGATTTCTAAAAGAAAATTCTCTATCGGGGTGAGGAACATTGTGAGTGATGAACTGCACAGTGTCAATAATAATCACTTTTAATTTATTGATTCATTCAATAATTATTTACGTACCAAATAGCAGGGTGAACTCTGGATATTCAAGTGGGGGAAAATAGCAACAGCTAAGATCCCTGCCCTCATGGAGCATGCAATCCAGAGGGGAGGCTAATTAAGTTATGTATGTATTTACATATATTAAAATCTATATACAATACAAATGGAGATAACCCACTATGAAGGAAAAGAATACTGTGCCCTGAGAACATAATTTAAATTATGAGAGAGCAGAGAAAGCTCTCTCAGGAAGGGATATTTGAGCCCTCTTCTGCCTCAGGGCCTTTGCACTTTCTGTTCCTTCTCCCTGGAATACTTTCTCCTAAACTTTTCTGCAAGAATCCTTTTACCCTTCTATACTTCCCTCAGTTCTCTGTTCAAATGGCCTCTCTGTCATGGAGGCCTTCCTGACTGATCCTACATCACAGTATCCCCTTACCCGACTCTATTTCTTAGGACTCCACCAGCAGCTGGCAAATGATAGATTTATTTACTAATGACCTGTCTTTCCCTCCCCATTCCTACCCCACGCATGCCAGCGCCGTGAGAGCAGGGACGAGGTGTGTTTTGTTCACTGCTGTAGCCCCAACACCTGGACAGTGCCCAGAGCAATGAATATTCGTGGGGTGAATGAAAGGGAAGCAGCCCCAGCATCGGGTGGGAGTGAAGAGGGGCGACAAGGAGAGAGACCTGCAAGTGTGAGGAGCATGGGGCCCCGAGTAGTCCACTGGTGCGCGGCATGAAGGCAAGTGGGTGACTGGAGCTACATAAACGGCAAAGATGATAGTGAGAAATTCGACATAAATAAGACACCTCCAGGAAGTCACCATCAGACCGTTGTAGTGTATTTGGAAAGTAGAAGGACAAATACAATGTCAATGAATCCAGACTGAAGGGAGTGATAAAGGTAGCCAAATAGGTAAGAATAATGAACATTCTCCTATTTTTTATCCTTACGGCCATGAGGGAACCTGCCTTTGTCTATTCTGTGTAGGGAGAATTCAAACATGTATCTCATTTAATCCTCTGTGAAGCTCTGTGAAGTAGGCTTATTTTTCCATTTTAGGGTGGAGGGAAACTAAGCCCCACTGAGTTTAAGTGCCCAGTCCCAGGTCACCTAGTCAGTGAGTGGGGAAGCCAGGTGGTCCATTTAATGTGGGTGGAGTCCATGCCATCTCCCTGGGGGACTAATGGGTTGGCCAGTTGCATATCCTCAGGAAGATGGTGCTAAAAAAAAGGCCAGGGAGGAAAGGCTGACATCGGCATGGCCCGTAGAGGAAGGGCCTTGGGAAATGAGATGCTCTCATGATTTCACCCTTTCTCAAACATCCAGAGGAAGGTCAGACCAGACCAAAACTCTGGGCCACTCTCAACATGATGCATTGATTCAGGTTCCCCTCACCCACAAGGGACACAAGTGTTACCATTCATCATTGGCATAACTGATAGCAATTCAGTGATGCATTTACTATCAGGAAGAGAAGTTTGAGCAGTGTCACTGTGTTCCAGTTATGCGTGGACTCCCATGCCCTATATTCTAGCTCTTGAACATCAATCACTTAAATCATGATGGTGCAATGTCCTTCTCCCTCACCCCTGTAAGATGGAGACAGAGGAATGTCACTGGTCTGCTTAGAGTGCCCTGCCTGTGCCCTAAATGTGTTTCCATCAGAGCCTAAGGAACACTGAGGTATGGCAAGAAGTGTAACCTGCCAGGAAACATGAAATCTGACTTCCAGATCTGCATCCTTCATGTGCTAGTTGTTTAGTCTATTGCTAGAGGAAAAGGGTAGACCATCAACTGTCTTTAAAGTTTTTACTCATGTCAGGCATTGTGGTAAGGATTTTATATACATGATCTATTTAATTCTCACAAAAACCTTGTAAGGCTTCCATGATCCTTCAAATGGGGTCGTTGATGTGACTCTCACAGGAGACTCAAAGCCTTTTAGAAACTATAAAGCAAATGAATACAAGATGTTGCTGATTTTTTAATCACTTTTTCTCAGAAAGGTCTGAACATCTCTCATGTTATATTTAACTATAATCCTGGACCCTGGGCATGGCTGGCCTTCCCACCAAGCCTAACCTTCCTCAGAAGGTTCCTCACATCCCCACCAGACACCTGACAGGTACACGGTGTCATCAGCCACTAGAATAGGACCTGCGTGTCAAAGCCCTTTCCTGGAGGAAGAACTTAAAATAATCTGAAGATAAATAAAGAGCATCAACTTTGCTGATGAAAGAGATGGGTTAGTAATCGAGAGGGCCGAAAGTAATTGGGAGGGGGCCAAAAAGCAGAAGATAAGAAGCTTTAAGATAAGAACTTTAAAGCAAGAGACTCAAAGCAGATACAAATCTCCACCACATGGGATTTGCCTGGATTTGGGTTTCAAGTTAAAGGGAAGCTAGGCCACTTTTGTTGCGTGAATCTATACCCGTTTGCTATAAGGCTGGCTTAATCTAATCTAATCTTGTAAATAAAATACTTGTTTAGTTTATCAAGTAGCAAATAGAACTGGAAAATATGTTGGTCTGGGAAGTTATTTATTTATTTATTTATGCATACATATATACATACACATTTATTTACCAGCAACAAAAATTTCAGGTTAAAGAGAGACGTGAAAAAAAAAAAAAAAAAGAGCTCTTTCTTCCAAGTCTCCAGAAGAGTTTGTCTGACTTGAAAAATAAATATTATGATCATGACCAAAAAAAATTATAAACTATTGACAAATCTACTTAGACAAAGAAAGCCACTAGCCCGACACGCAAACATAAGGGGACCAGATGGCAAAGGGATAAATGAAACGAAAGATAAACTGTTGAGTTGGAAAATAATCTCATTAAAATATAAATGACCATGCTTTGATAAGGGAGAGCAGAGATAGTGGTCCTGATTTGGAACCTTCCCAAGAACTCTCAGCCTGCAGTTTATGGGGATAAGATCTGAAGTCCATGCCAGACATCCGACCACCCACCCACTGTGAACTCCTCAACTGGTGGGCTGGTGGGCGTCAAATGAGACAGGAATGCGAAAGACTTCTGGAACAGTGTTGTGGAAATTTAAGAACGCAAGGGAAACCCTAGACTCAGGGCACTGCCCTTCTGGCCCCTGTGAGGATAGACGTTCCTTCTGGGAACTACGGCTGGGTCGCTTATTTATCTTTCTAATAACCTCGACTTGGAGAGCTTTGGCCCTCTGTCCTCTCCTCATTCTCACACTGTCCTTCAGTGGCCCAGTCTTCCCCAGCTCTAACTGCCTGTGTTAGTCTGCTTGGGCTGCCATAACAAAGTGTGTCGCTTAAACAACAGAAACGTATTTTCTCCCAGTTCTAGGGGCTCGAAGTCCAAGATCAAGGTGTCAGCACGTTTGGTTTCTTCTGAGGCCTCTCTCCTTTCTTTG